TGAGGGTGGTGAGGCACTGGAACTGGCTGCCAAAAGAAGTCGTAAATGCTCCATCCCTGGCAGTGTTCAAGGCCAGGCTGGACAGAGCCTTGGGTGACATGGTCTACAGTGAGGCGTCCCTGCCCATGGCAGGGGGTTGGAACTAGATGATCTTAAGGTCCTTTCCAACCCTAACTATTCTATGATTCTGTGATTCAAACTGTTCAATGTTTCATCCTTTTAAAAGTTTTACTCCTATTCTGAAGTGCTTAGGCAGTTTCTAGACCAATCTCTTATGCCACAAGAGTAGCTAAGAAACTGCTGGTGAAACTGCTGGCTAAGCTCTGACAGACAGAAAACAGCTGCCTACAGTGCACGGAAAGAATGAACTACCTATTACAACCAACCCCCTCTGCTGTCTTAAGCCTGTGGCTATACTTCCTACACTTTTCCAAGCACTGTGATCCACTTAACTCTCCCTTTGCCAGGACAGTTAGAGAGCAAGAGAGAGGTACAGTCAGGTATCAGTGTCACACACAACAGAACTGCATAGCTGGCTGCATGAAAATGCTAAACTACAGCATAATGGAAAAAAACGTTTCATTGTAATAGGGTCAAATCCATTGACCTCACTGAATTCATGGAACTGACGACAGACTGATTCCTGCTGTACTTCTCAAACTTGTCATCAGGATAGCACTTTCCCTGGACCTGAATAGAAAGATGAACATTATCTCTCTAAATGAAGTGGTAATATTGATAAAATTAACAGAAGATTCACTTCTCATAAGCACAACCTGCTAATTAACTCATCTGAAAGCATGTGGGGAAAGACTTGACAGGATACTCCACTGACAGCAGATTATAGCGCTATTATGTGACATACATGTAGCAAATATGCATTTATTCGCTCTTTTTTCCATTTCTTAACAACTGCCTTCTTCATCCATAAATCACAACAGCAAAAGAAAAAAGCGTGACTACATGTACTGACTTTTGACTGACTTTGTATCTTCTGGAAGCAGACACTTCAGTATTTCCTTTTTTCAAGTTCAGATCTATTGTTCATTTTGTTATTATATGACAGTTATTATTAGTAATGACTATTCATTACTATTTTGATAAATGGAATGAATAATCAGGAGGACTGATTACCTTTAACACTAATCTTCCTTCACAGCTGAAATCCAACCTTAGGATTTAGCTAATAAAGTTTTTCAGCTATTTCTGTCAAGTTTCAAGACACAAGCCTTCAGCTTCCTGTCCTCCTGTAACTCAAGCTACAGCAGCCTTTGAAACAACTCCTTACCAACATGATTACCCAACAAGCTCCCCTGAATTATGCTGTTTATTGGAGGACCTTGCCTGAACCTGTAATTCTAGTTTCAATACCGTACTTCCTTTCTAATTAAAGATTCTCTACTTATAAGCAACATCACACTATTGCAAAATTCTTCCAGGTGTGGTATTCTGAAGCTTGCAGTTTTCATGTTTGCATGCTTCTGAAAACTACCAGAAAACTCAACTTCTCCTTCTCCCATCCCTGAGTATGACTGAGCTCATTCTGCCCTTATGTCATGTACATAACTATTCAGGCAAACAAAACCCTTCTTGGCTAAAAAGAAAAGAAAATCACTGCTGAGTGCGTAAATGCCTTCAGATGGCAGTTACAATTGCTTTGCTAAACTGCATTTTAAAGTTATCAGTGAAAACAGCTGAAGCAATCTATTACTGAGAGTTACCATTAACACATATGAAATGTTAAACTTCAGAAGGACTAGAAGGTTACCCAAACATAATTTACTCTAAAAGGTCTTTAGAATATTATATGATCACAGGATGGTCAGAAGTGGGCATAAAACAGCTATGTGGTTATCATACTCAGACTCCACTAAAGAAACAGCTGAAGTATAAAGGTATAAAACCCCCAATACATTCACAAAGATGTGTGTATCAATAACACAGGTGAGTGTAACATGATTTCATGCTTGAGAATAACTGAAGTATGGATCTAAAGAAATATTCAGTGGGGCATTTCTTAACCGCCACAGGACAGAATTCTTCCTTAAATTTTTTAGGACTTGAATTGAAGGGACTGACTCGTACCTGAGTTTTGCACAAACAGCATATAAAACTTCAGTACTTTACAACAGGATGATGTTCATTCTGAGCCTCCAGTTTGACAGAAGTTTATAGATAAAGAATTCCCACACAGGTGTCAACAGACTGATTTTACAAGAAGATAGGACCTCATGAAAATGTATGCAAAAGAATTATTTGTGGCACTCAAGTCCTTGGGAAAATAACCTTCTCTGTTTGTGAAGCTTTTCCACATTGAAACACAGGGCAAATTTATATCTCATTTCACCTCATTGCAGCAAGTAAGAATATTCTTGTACCTTGATGGGGTTCCTGCCCACCAATTCTTCTGACTTAGAAACTACACTTTATACAAACATTAGAATAGTACAGCTTTTAAAATAGGCTTGGTTCTTCTTTTGCTAACCAGGAGCATGATGCACCTGAAAGTAATTTCAATGTTTACAAAAACAAATTCTTTAGATTGTCTTTTACCCAACAAAAGGTTTGGGTTTTTTTTTCATGTAAACTGCATATTTTCTTTAGTAAAACAAATATCATACATAGGATTTTTTCCAAGCATTTTTATTTAAAACTGATTTACAAGGGCAGTGAGGCACTGGTGAGAAGCTGTGGTTGCCCCATCCCTGGCAGTATTCAAGTGATACAAGGAAAGCAAGTGCCTGGAAAACATAGGGTTAAGATACTTTTAACTTAGGTCTAAGAGAACAGTGTTTGTGTTGTAAGTCTGTGGTGTGATAACAGAATTTAGTAGTCTCACTAACAAGAGTGAATTATTTCTTACCATCCTTCTAATTATCAGTTAGTTTGGAGACAGTGCCTCCTGAACATCTGCTAGCTTAGGACACTCCTTGTCTGCCCATCCTGTTCTGCTTGCAATAAATTTTGTATGAAGGTCACACTGTTCTAAATCTTTGCCAGCTATCAGAAACTTACAGATACGGCTGGTTTCAGCTAGTTTTGTGACTACTGGGGCATCCAACTGTGCCAAAGGTGAAAAGTGCACTGTGAGGAAGACTGCTTACTTCATCTTGAAGACCCCTGCCCACGACCATCGGAGGGCAGTGCACAAGCGCCAAAAGGGAGGAGACTTATGATAATGAGTACCTAAACTAATTGTAATATCCCCTCCCAACTCTCTGGAACCTAATGAATATGCATGTTTGTGTGTAATAAATACCTGCTTGCTTAACCCCTCAGTGTGAAAGTTAGGATGAGTGTTCCCCCTTGCACCCAGGCCCGTAATAAATACATCTCCTTTATAACTCTGAGTTATAGAGTCTGATTCCATGCTTCACAAGGCCAGGTTGGACAGGGACTGGAAAAACCTACTCTAGTGGAAGGTGTCCCTGCTCATGGCAGAGGGGTTGGAAACAGATGAGGTTTAATGTCCCTTCCAACCCAAACCATTCTACGATTCTGTGATTATTAAGCCAATGAAATCTCACATAAAACTGTTACAGTTAACTGAAGTTAATTCCAGTTATTATGTTTTTAGGACTACCACATTTCAGCTTCTCATAGTAAACTTTTAATCATAATCTGGACATGAGAAACAAAGAATCCTCACTTTTTTTTCAGGCCATAATCTGCACTAAAACAAAAGCATGGAAGGAAAAACCCCCAACATTCTCTGAAGTAGTTAGACCAGTCAAAAGCTGAGTTTCACATTTCAGCTGACTCCACCCCTAGCAACTCAGAATGCTGTTTCATGGTATTTTATGATGATTAAGTCAGAGCTCTGTCATCCTGCCATCCTCCATAACTCCTTTGCAGCAGCAACACCACTTTCATAATTACATGATGAGCCTGTTCAGGGTGCTGAGCTAGCCAAACCCTAGGCAGTTTTCAGGCAGGTCAGCATGCTGGATCAACACTTGTTGTGACCAAAGGAGTACAGGCTGGGTAAGGAATGCAGGGTGCCAGAGCATGTCCATCATTGGGAAGGAGGGACAGTCATCAAACACAGCTTTAAACTGCTATAGGTAGGCTGGCCCAGAAAGGCCTGGTCCTAATTTCTCCTCTAGCTTTAGCAACACATTTCTCGTCACTCCTCCTTTCCTGGCACTAGCATTCTGGTAGCCACAAGTGAACAGCATCATGAAGCTATAAATCTAAAGGAAAACAAGTACTTTTCCATTCTATAATCTCACTTGCTGCTTGACCACATGAAAATTTCTGCGGACAGGAAGAGCAGGAAACAGAAACAGCTACGCACAGCGTGAGCCGCTCAGATTTACACCACTTTAACTGCAGAACTGAACTCACAATTCCCTGTGAGAAGACTGAAGTATCCCATGGCAAGTATTTTTGTTTAAAGTTGTATCTGATGATCATGAAGATACCAAGTTTCAGAACTGAGCAACAGCCTGAAAGTTTCTCAGCTTGGAAGAAGAAAACCCACGCCCCTGTTCCAACAGGGCAGCACCCTGACTTCAGCACAGGACGACCGCAAGCCGCAGACACTTCCCCAAGCAGTGGGACAGACTCCCTGCTCTCGATGTCTCCCTTCCCGCAGCGGCGCAGCCACCCCTCCCGCCGCGGGTGCCGCCTGCGCCCACCGCCTAGCCCCTCACACCACTTTTAAAGTTTACTCTGTTTGGGTTTAAGGCTTTTTCGCCCTCAGTTCCGCGGCAGGCGGCATGCCGAGGCACACACCGGCACCCCCTCGCTCCCTCCCAAAGCGCTTCCTCGGGCCCGCGCCGCGTCCTCGCCGTCGTCCGGACGCTGCCGGACGGCGCCGAGCAGCCGGAGGCGCCCGCTGGGGGCGAGGGCGGGCTCCGAGCCCCGCTCCGCCCGCGGGAAGGAGGGAGGAAAGAGGCGAGCGCGCTCCCGCGTCTCCCCGGCCCTCCCCTCAGGAATGCGGGACAACTACCCCCCGCCCGCGCCGCAGCCCGGCCCCGGCCCCCACTCTCCATTACCTGCTGGCCCCCGCCTCGCCTCGGCCCGCGCTCGCCGCCGCCTCCCGGCCGGCGCCTGCCTGCCGCCGAGCTCCGTCCGCGGCGGGGTCTCGGGCCTGCCGCTCCCGGCCGGCGCCGGGCTCCTGCTCGAGGGAGAGGGCCAGCTGGCTGAAGCCGTAGAGCAGCGAGCAGACGCCGCAGCCCAGGCAGAGCAGCGCCACCCGCGCGAACCGCCGCATCCTCTCGCGCCGGCCCCGGCGCCAGGCGGCAGCCGGGGCTCCACCGGCAGCGAGGGACCCAACGGACGCTCCCGCGGAGCCAGCCCCGGCATGCGAGGGGCGGAGCTGAGCCAGAGCAGGGCGGAGCTGCCGGGGCGGAGCGAGGCCTGAGGCGCTCGCAGGGAACCAGGTGCCACCGGCGGGGAGCTGTCGCTGTGGCGGCTGGAAGTCACGGTTCGATTGCCCCAAACGTGAATAAAGCTGGAAGTGCCCCTTTACCGGTGCTTGTACTCAGGGGGACGCCGCTGCTTTGCTTCCTCCAGGAGGAGCAGGCTGGGCCCGGTGCCCTGGGGTGGGCCATGGGGAGCTGCCGGCCTCACCCAAAGCCCCTGTGTTCAGCCTTGTCTCACCAGCTGCTCGGGTCGTCTGGGAACATGTCCCTGGGAGTCATAGAATCAACTAGGTTGGAAAAGACCTTTAAGATCAAATCCAACCATTACCCCAGGACTGCCAAGACCACCACTAAGCCATGTCACTGAGGGCCTCACCTGCACGGTTTCTGAACACTTTCAGGAACAGCAGTTCCACCTTTCCCTGGGAAGCCCATTCCAATACCTGATCACGTTCTCAATGGAGTTTTTCCTAATATCCAATCTAAACCTCCCCTGGCACAGCTTGAGGCTGTTACCTCTTGTCCTGTCACTTGTTGAGAGACCTGTCCCAAGCGGAGGCAGAGACCATTGCTTACAAACTGGAAGCCCACAGGCTCAGTGCACAGGCTAGCTTGCCTTGTCCTCATTAAGGGCAAAGTGAGGCTAAGACCCCAAAACTGACACTTTAATTTTCCCCCCTCAGTGTTTCTGTTGCGGTATCTTTGGCCTTCCCATGTAAAAGCTTCACTGCCTCTTCACAAGGGCATTCCCTCACATTCCTTAGGCAGCTGGGGTGACACAAGTGTCCATCTTCCTTGCAGAGGCACAATCCGAACATGCACATCCTTCTGGGCTACAGCCCCTTCCCTCCTCCAGCCTTGGCACACAGGCACAGCACGCCAGCCAGGGGAGTTGCTGGATGCTGGGCCAGGTGGATGCTAGGCTGGAGAAGCTTAGTGACCTCGGCTCACTAAGTCATGCTTCTGGACAAGAAGAAATAGGTCTGGGAAGTGTACTGAAGAGAAAAAAATGATGGGAGTGCTGAGTCCTCATAGCAGCCTTCCAGTATCTGAAGGGGGCCTACAAGGATGCTGGGGAGGGACTCTTCATTAGGGACTGTAGTGATAGGACAAGGGGTAATGGGTTAAAACTTAAACAGGGGAAGTTTAGATTGGGTATAAGGAAGAAATTCTTTCCTGTTAGGGTGGTGAGGCAGTGGATTGGTTTCCCCAGGGAAGCTGTGAATGCTCCATCCCTGGCAGTGTTCAAGGCCAGGTTGGACAGAGACTCGGGTGGCATGGTTTAGTGTGAGGTGTCCGTGCCCATGGCAGGGGGGTTGGAACTAGATGATCTTAAGGGTCTTTCCAACCCTATTCTATGATTCTATGAGTGTGCTCTGCTGGGCACGGGAAATGGTTGGGTTTCAGCTCAATCCAATACAGTATCCTGTCCCCTCTTTGGCCCAGTCTGCTGAGCAAAGCCTAACAGCCTAACCCACTATTGCCAAGGTAAGTAGTTTAAAGTCATCAGTCAGTGTTTCTTCCTCAGCTCCTGACATCATTTTGGGGGGATTTTTAAAGAAAACTTTGAAATTATTTTGCTTTCTTTTTCATCCTTACAGTGCATTTGGCTCACATTCTCTCTACAAACTGGGAACATACTGTTTTAAAATAAGCAGTGATATCCCCACTTAATCGCATGAATTCAAGATCCCGCCTTTTAAGAAAAATGCCAAAATGACTTACTATAAAGCTTAAAAAAATAGTTCTGTTATAGATTCTTGAGGCTGCATGTCATACGTGACTGCCCATAAAACCTGAGCCATAGCTTACTGCTGCTCTTGGCTGTGTTTAAAAGAAGGGGGAAATCAGAATGCCAGCTGGCAACACTAGTAGCTAGAAGAGAAGTAATGCCAAAACTATCCTGCCAAAATTGTTCGTCACCTCTTCCTCAAAACAGAAGTAGAAATGAGGAATAAAACAAAATCTTAGAAAATCCAGGATACTTGGCTGTCTTGGTGGTACACATACCAGGATGATTAGTAAGAGATACAAGCAGGGAAATAGGGGCTGAGAAAAGTCATAACAACCAAGAGCAGTAAGGAACTAGGAAGGATGAGGAGCAATGATGACAATTCAGGGCCAAAGATGGCAGGTAATGATGCGAGTCATAGTGAGGTGGGGCAGGGTTTGTAAGGACTGTCTAGAACTAATTTGCTTAATGAACTAAGGGAAATTTATGTTAGCAAGATCCATGCTGGCATGCATAATGGAAAGAACCAGCTCCAAAAGTGACACTTAAATTCTTAGCTGGGCTTTCTGCCCCTCTGTGTTCTGTCCCTCTGTGCCTTCTGCCACAATGTATATCGCCGTGCAGCTTCCCTGATTTGTGTTTGTACTCAAAACCCAGCTCATTGCTCTCATTGAATATCTGTCTGCCATCCTGTTGTGAACTCACACACTGTCCCATTTCACAACCCCTTACCTATACTATCAAATCCATATGACAGGGAATAAGTAATACAGTAATACGAGACTCAGAGTGGAGAGATACAATGGAGTCTTTACTGACAATGAGCATAAAAGTGAAGACCAGTTAATCCCTACTGAGGTGTGACACTTGCCTTTTGTATTGAAGAGCATTCCAGTCAGGGAAAATGAGGTCTGAAGGGTGTTACAGAGGGACCGAGAATGAATGTGGCAGCTAGGCAGCAATAGTGCTTTCATGCTTCAGAAGAAGGAAGTATATTCTTAGATGAAAAAAAGAAGAAATAAGGAATCCTAGAGAGATGACATAGGGGAGAATTTGAATTTTTTTTCTTTACTTATCAATCATACCATTTCTCAAGTAGGAGTTTTCACAGAGTTCTCTTTATTCAGTGCTGTCCAATAATGCCTGAATAATTAATGAGTGACTATCTGCAGTGCTCTAAAAATATAACTGAGGCAAGGTCAGAGAGAAAGTTAGTGTCTTTTCTTAAAGGTATCTGATGGTTTGGGGAAGAAAAACCAGATAAACTTACGCACACACAAGCCTTTTTTCACACTGCAGAATCTGTCCATTTAATCTGTCAGTTGGTCTGATAAAAGATAAAATGTTTCTCAGTGCAAACTCAGCCTTGTGAATAACAAAGATAAGCAAAAGCGACTCAAATGTCATACCTAGGCTAGTGTATCACTGAAGAAAACCATCAGATGGTATCTCATTTACCTAAGTAAGCTTTTAAAATTCTTTACAGAGAAATAATTATGTATCTTTATTACTCACCGTAAACAGTTAATGAACAATATATAACGTTTTATGCTATAACGTTTACTAGTCCTTAATAAACTTAACACATGAAGAGCTACAATCAGCTGCAAGGTTCTCCCCATTTATTACCAATGTTAAATATTGATATCCTTTTCTCGACTGGAATTTAGTTACTTAGCCATGGTAACTTTTGTATCTTTAGGATTCAATTCCATATACTATATCCAGAAAATTGTTGAGATCCAGAAAATCTTGGTGAACTACAGATGTCAAGTAGTTAGGACAACTGAGTTTTTTAAAGAATCAGCACCTTCTGCAAGTGTATTCATGGGTCATAAGCGCAGTTACTGTGTGCCAGAAAATGAATCTGAAACTCTTAACAACTCAATAGATCAGGGATAAATCAGATCAATTAAGGAAAAAAAAAAAAAAGAGAGAATTATTCACAATTATGGAAGGGGATTCTCTGCAACAGAGAGAACAAAGAGACAAATCAATTTCCACTCCAACTTTCTGCTAATTAAACCCCCCAGTCCTAGTCAGATACATTTTTATCATTCCTTCTGGTCTTGTTCTTTCAGGACATTAAACCATTAGTTAAGTTGGCAGAGCAATAAGATTTTGTGCTGACAGATTTGTGTCAATGCTGCCTCGAATGCAGACCGGTTAAGGGTTTTTCAAAGGCAAAGACACTTCCTTTGATGTTCACATGCCCTTTGTGCAACCTGCAGTGTCAACATTTAACTATGATAGATGGCAAAGTTGGGTAAGCAAGAGGAAACTGACTGCCATGTGTTGTGCATATGGTATCATCAGACTTCTTAGTGCAATGTCCCTACTCTGTTGCTGCCAGGCATCATTTTTCTTTCCTTATTATTTTTTAAGACAAGGACTTTAAGACAAGAGATTGGTACAAGCGCCTCCCACTCTTACGGTATCTACTCTTCAAATTTCCCTACATCTGCCTTCAGTGTATAAAAATGTTAACACAAACCCTCAAAATCAATTTTTATTGATGACCAAAATATTATTGCCTTACCCCATTCCTTCCCTTTTTAGCTCTCATGGTTTTGCATTGTAGTGTGTGTTTAACCTATTTAGACCATAAGCAGGAATTTGCAATTACTCATGGTATCAGCAACACAAACATCTAAGGACAATAGTACAAACTGCACTGTGAGCGGTTTGGGAAGTGGTGTGATACTTACCAGAATGCCTACTTTCTTCTAATTTGAATCGGTTATTTCTTCATCAAGAGTACAGTCCACTTCAAAATTTATTTAAGGAACTCTCTGGGAACAATTCTAAATTATTAAACAGTTGAGAGTAGAAGTATTTTTGTTGTTCCTATTAAGAAAGTTCAACTTCTGTGTCCTAAAAAAAATAAATATACACCTACATATGTAGACTCGCACAATTTTTAGCACTTCAGTACAATTAAAAAAGCAGAAAGCTTTCCAGGAGCATAAAGAGAATTTTCTTTTTCTCTCTTTTTCTGTATTTTTGTGTCGAAACATATTTTTTAATTTTTCCTGTAAAGATTTATAAATATGGAGCTCTAAAACATCAGTCCAAAAGGGATTCTTCGTGTTGGGCTTTTGTTTTTTTGCCTCATCTAAAATTCTCCAAGGACTGTACCTGGCAGGGTTATTAGTGATTAAAGGACTCCTGGAAGGAGTCAAAGCAAACTTATCTACTTATGCAAATATGTACCAGGTACAAAAATGTAGAAATAAGGCAAGCAGGCCTGG